AAAATTCCTCCATATTTACTTTACTGCATTTTTTGAGGTGGTTGGAATGGAACTTTAGCTAATTGTTCCACCACTGAGCTTCCCTTCCCTTCTCCCTTTTCATCATTTTTGTTGAAGCATACATATTTGATACATAATGTACTTTCCCCACAATAGTTATCATACCTTTACTGTCTTTGATACAAATGTTGTTTTTGCCAGGATTGTAATTAATTCAAGTTTAATGGCTAAACATGCAGTTTGTAACATTTCAGATACAGGCCATGTATGTTTTATTTTATTCCTATTTTTGTAATCAAATTTTATTAACTCTGTAGATATTTATTTTACTTCAAGTAACAAAACCTATGCAGTTCTGAGTTTTAATGTATGTGATATAACACTTTGCAATACAAAGTACAATTTACAGAAATTTCTGTCAAGTAAACCTAAAGAAACACTTGATTTCTACACTTGTGTATTTAAATTAGAAAAATTTGCTTTTTCTGTAAGAAAAAAAAACCTTCACATTTTATTAGATGATGAAACTGACACTTTTGTGGGATTTAAGCTACCAACACTTGGTTTATAAGAGCAAGCATCTCAACTTGCTGAATTCTTCATGTCTTTTCAACTTAAAAATTGTGCTATAAAGTGAAAAATCTGTAGTATTATACAATGAAAAAGACTCCAAGGAACAAACGAAGAACTCGGATTCTCTATCTGAAAAAGTAAGAGTAAATTTATGAAAATATAAAAAGAACTATCAGATGAATTTACACAAATAAGTTAGCCAGCTTATCACCACATCTGGGGCTGCACAGCTGCAGCAGTCTTTGGCCTTTAGGGAGGAGCCTGTGTCCCCACCATTCTCCTCCTTCCCAGACTTTGTACAAATATTGCTCCATCCCACGTTCCTAGGAGGAACTTCCAAACCCAAACAGCTGGGCTCAAATGCACCTCCAAGGATGTAGCGTTGGGCTGTCTCCTCCCTGCTCCCTCCCTCTCAAAGTACTAACTGCTTTATTTCCTCTTTCTTTAGACTGATAAAATTGAACATTTAAACGTATTTAAATTTTTTTATTATTTTAATTTTATGTGTATGCCTGTATTGCCTGCATGTAGGTAAGTGCACCTGTGTTGTGCAATGCCCATAAAGGACAAAAGAGGCTGTTGCATACCCTGGAACTGGAGCTATGGACAGTTGTTAGCTGCCATGTGGGTGCTGGGATTCAAACCTGGGTCTTCTGAAAGAACAGTCAGTGTTCTTAAGTACTGACCCATCTCTCCAGCCCCAAATATAGTTATTTTAAATGCAACCATTTCTACTAGGACAGATATTGTTTGTAATTATGTTTTTGAAAAAAAAAATTCTAAGGTGATACTTTCCAGGGGAGTTAGGAAGGCCAGTCTCTTGTAGCTGCAGCACTCATTAACAACTCACCCCCAGTGATGCTCACCACCCAGGACAGCACTAGGAGTATAACAGATTTTTATAGTAGATTTGTATGCCATACAGACCTTTGAAAATGAGAGTAGGCTGGACGGCAATGCACGCCTGTTATCTCAACACTCAGGAGGTGGATAAAGGATTGCAAACCTGAAGCCAGTGTAGGCTACATAGAAAAATCTTGCCTCAAACAAATACATACTTGAATAAACAAAATAAAAAAAACTTATCAAGCCATATTTTTAGTTTAGTATTCAGAGCTTTACACACAGATACACACACATGCACATATATGTCAGTTTGTTAATGATGTCTAAAATACTTTATGCCTCTAATTTTTGGTCTCATAAACTCGTGTATTTTTTCTTGGTTTCTGAAATATAAAATATACACAATACAGTTGTGTTTGCAGTTTTTCTTTACATAGATTGATGGCACATAATTTCTGCTAAAAACATTCATGATAATCAGATCATATTATCTTTGACCTCAGGCACTGGATTTTGAGTCTTTCTCCATTTCCTATGTTAGTGTTACTGATTTTGTTTTTTTTTGCCAGTTTTCCATATTTTACCTTGGTGTCACTTTGTTTTAAGTGTGCCTCATGAGAACATTCTAGTATTAGATATTTATAAAAGTATTTTGGTTTGGGTCCTGGAGAGACGGTACAGCCATTAAGGGTGTTTGCTACTCATCCAGAGGACCTGAATTTGGCTCCCAGACCCATGTCTGGGGGAATACAACCACCTATAATTTCAGCTCCAGGGCTCCAGCACTCTCTTCTGACCTCTTTGGATACCTACACTCATGTGCACATTCACATACAGGTACAGCCATGCACATAAATGAAGAAATACTAAAAGCTAAAAAATCATCCTATCTTCAGCAAAACTATGTAAATATAATTATTTTATATTTTAAAATGCAAATTATACATTTCTTTATTTTTTTTATTTTTTTTTTTTTTGAGACAGGGTCTCCCTGTAGCCCCAGCTGACCTGGAACTCCCTATGTAGACCAGGATGGCCTGGATTCCACAGAGAGCGGGCTTTCCTCTCC